AGGGAATTCACAGAAACATGGATGCTTAATTAGTTCAAAATATCTCGCAGTGTGAATTTTCCATCAGAATAATAACATTTGATGATTTGTTTACATGGGCACAAACACCCTGACAGGCACTTTCCACCAAGGATTATTTTAATGCTATATAAGGAGAGCCAATGAACAATCTGTGTTTAACATCATGTCTCAAACAACAATTGAGAATAATCATCAAAATGACGAGGTATGTTGCATACTCATGCATGGAATGTAGGAAGGTTGGAGGAGTCGGAGGTTGCAGGTTGTTGAGTTATCAAACCACATTGTTGAGTGGCTGCATGTATAAAATCGCAAAGAGGAAACAGTCATGTGAGTGCATTATGCAGATTTGAAACTAATACAACTGATAAAATGTTATGTACAGTATGTTTGATGGTTTCATCCAATATCATGAATTTAAAGAACATGTAGTGTACAAAGTTGAGCCAAAAGTTGTCATCTGAGACATAATTTAATGATTAAAGCACACACTGACCTTGATTTTCTACATTTGCACAGAATGACATAAATGGGGCATAAGCTTGTCAAAAAATATGTAAAATACACCAAAGAAAATGGCAACATTCTGCTAGTGGTTGTGACTTCCTTAGGGAATAAGACTCTTGTTTTAGATTTGTTCAGTTACTTATTCAAGGAACAAACGAGACCCTCAGGCCTTCACAGACAAACAAAAAAGACAGCCTCCTGCCAGCCACGGATGCAGGAGGCGCTGTCCTCTTTTGTGAAACTTTGCAGTGGCAAGACATTACAGATATATGAATACATCATGCAGAGGTGAAAACAATGTAGCATCACTCCTTAAAAGTGCCTGATCTATGTATTTTTTCCCCTGACTTCCCTCTTTCCTTTCTCTTTCATCATGTACTCCTTGATGCCATCTACTACTTAATATTCCCACCCTTTCTCCAACATTTTTCATCACCTTACGCTGACTCCCAATTTTAAAGCTGTCGCAGGTCTTAATTAACTTCACTCCGACCCTTCTGCACTCATGGAGGGATTTCAGCTTGCTTGACACAACTTCTGGCAGCCATAGTGGAGGTCAATAGCTCTCGGCTGTCTCTACGGAATAAATAGACTGTGGTGATTTCTGCTCAGTTTTTAACTGTTAAATGACAACAACTCCGCTGACCTGATCAGTTTAAAGGAAATGTTCAACATTTTGTGAAATACACTTATTTGTTTTCTTGCTGAGAGTTTGATCAGAAGATTGTTATCACTCACATGTACGTGTATGTATGTGTAAGTATAAAGCTGCTGCCTGCACCCGGCTAACTTAGCTTAGCATAAAGGGAGAAAAAGCTAGCCTGGCTCTGTTCAAAGGCAACAATTATTTGCCTAATTTCACTGACACTCAATAATTATGATGTTGTATCTTGTTTGTTTATTCTGTACAAAACACAAAGCGTAAAAATGACAGTTTGTCTTTTGTATGGATTAAACAAAAGATGAAGGTGATTAAAATGTGTTGGTCTTTTTTTGGACAAAGCTGGGCTCGCTGTTTCCCCCTGTTTGCAGTCTTTATGCTATGCTGGTTGCTGAAAAAGCAAATTTCGCAATATGTTTAATAATTCCCTTAATAGTTGGATAGTGTCAGTTTGTTAGCTAGCTAATCATGCTAGTTTTGTTGCATGTTGTCTCTACATATATATATATATATATATATATATGCTCAATACATGCCACAGAAAATCCTGTATGTCTGTATGTGTTACTGGGCAAACTGAATCTTGCCTTCTTGAAATTGTTGCTCTACACCTCCCCCCGCCCTTCCTTCACTTCCCCTTTTCTCAAAGCCTCCCCCATCGGTCATTGAGAGCTCCTGTTGTGTTTGCTACAAGGCTCTCCCGGGTCTTTAGTTGCTCCACCATAAACCTCAACTCCGTTCTCGGTCCAGGGGGCAACGCTGCCCTGGGTTACTTTGCCGCAGCGAGCCAAGCTGGCAACCTGGCTAGAAGACAGGACTCGGTCCCAGAGACCCACCTGGGACAACTCTCCAACCAGGGCCTGGGATGAGTCAAAACCACCACCCAGGGAATCCTGGAGAGAAAGAAGAGTTGCGTTAGATGGATTACAGAGAAAAATCTTGAAAGGAGCTCAAGTGATTGAAGACAAAAACACAGTTTCATACACACACAGGCTCAGCTTCGACTGCTTTGCTGCCTTGAGCAAGACAGTGGACTTGCTTTTGGGGAGATGAAGGAGATGTGATAAAAAGTGAATGCAGTACTGTGGAATAAAGAAGCCATATTTGAGGGGGATTCTTTTACTTTTGAATGTCCCCTAGGCTGTTACCCTTATTGCTTATGACCATTATGCACACACACACCTTATCCATTCAACACTACAACACACCACGTCAACACTCAGGTTGGTAGTGCACTCCGAGCTAAATGAAATGTGTAGATTTACTGTGTCTACTTACACAAAGGCTCTTAGAGTGTGTAATGCTTTTATTTACAACTCATGGAGAAATCAATAAGTGAATACACCCACAGTCATAGTGGGTAAACTACTATTTGCTTGCAGTGCTGTAGTCAGTCTGCAATCACCTGCTCCTGCCCCAGTATGAGCAATCCTCCAGGTCTGATGTGATGTCCAGCTGCCAGTGCGTGACCCTCGCCCCTCAGCTTTCCCCCCTGGTAGGCCTGCCAGGCTCCACCCTTCTGGTTCCAGCTCACACAGATGTGCTGCCAGCTGCCTCTGGAGAGGTTTAGAGGCAACTGCGCCACCTAGGAATGGGAGAGCAAAAGGGGAGTTTAGGTGGGGTAGATCTTTGTATTCTGATGTTTTTGAGTGTCTCAGATTCAAGGTAGGACATGTCACCTGGCTGTAGCTCTAGCTATTAGATTTTCATTTCTTTCTCAAGTCTTCAGGGTACAAAAGTTGGCTGTTATACAGTATTTTCTCGGTCCCAAAGACATTCGACTACCTCCAAGGACACAGAACTATAGGCTACACGGCATCTATTACCATAATGACTTCACTGAATTATACCTCTGCCACTGCACTGCACTACACCACCCTGCAATGCTGTCAACGGGGTACATTAGTTTGTCATTTAAACACATGAATGAGGCTATTCAGCTTGTCTGCTAAATTGGCTCGTTCATTTGATGTGTTCTGCTTATTTGCATGCTAATACAGTACACTATGTCTTCTGTAATAGACAAAGTCTACTCAAGACTAATGCTTTTTATATACAGTACAACTGGTAGAATATGAGAAAGTGAACAGGCCTTGTAGAAAGCAGTAGTGAAACTCCTCTGGGGTAATGCTATGGTGACAATAAATTATGTAAGATACTGCATGTACACTGGTTGCTGTCAAGTCTCTTTCTACACTATATCTATCCCAGATTAGTGCTGCCAACTCTTGGATCCAGTCACTGTGACTTTTAGGAAAGTTATACCAAATGACTACTCTGTGTTTGCGATAGAACATAGAACATATTAACACATAGATACTCACACAGACTGAAGAACCACAATTGGATATTAAAATATATATTTAAATGGATTAAAGGCACCCATATATTTTGAAATACATGTATAACGTAATAATGGATACTCAAGATTGATAGATTGATACAAGTAAATCTTTACCTTTTAATCTAGCAATAATTTACATATTGAGCAATATATACTGCTAATATAATACATTGCACAATGATTGTCAATATTCACTGGTTACAGTAATATAAAATATACATGTATTACAATATATACAGTGTTGATATCTGGAAAATATATTTCCTTTACATACAGTAGATGGTATTTAGCATCTTTAATTATTGAAATAGGTTTCTGCAGAACATGTACTTGTAATAATGGACTGTGTTGATTTAATAATACATGTTAGGAATCTAATCAATAAATAGTTTGAAATATGACCCATAAACCTCCTCGAGAAAATCAATTGCACCCAAGCAGTGGACAGGTCAGTTCACATATACAGTGGATGCAGCTTTACTGATACAGCACCTTGTCATTGATGAGCAGCTCAGTGGGGGTGTGCAGGCCTTGCAGCAGCACCAGTTCGTTGGGTTGCGCAGGAACAGCGTAAGACAAAGGGGTCCCAATTCCTCCCTCTGCAGGCCGCAGCCAAAGGCAAATGGTGAAAGCCCGCAGAGTCGGGATGGAGTGTTTCACAACAGCGTACATGTAGTTTGTCCGAGTTGGGAAGGAAAGTCTGTATCCCTCTGGGAAAGAATGGCCTGAAATACCTGGGAAAAAAACAGAAAGAGAGCATGAGTGTGAAAACTAAAGAAGTGAGAGAGAATGCGAAGAGAAATCAATTCAGTCATGTATCTGGCAAGAGGATAACTTTCTTCACATCAAAACATCATGTTTTTTTTAAGAAGGGCACGAATTTCATAATCTTTCTGATCTTTTTTTTTCTTTTACATAAGTTAAACATAATTTATTCATCATAAAGAATAAACCCCATGGCTTAATTTGATTAAGATTAATATAAAAATGAAACATCTGAGGTAACTTTTATGCCAAATGTTTTCCTCATAATTTGTGACATGACTCACCATGCAAGTGATTAATCAGAGTCACTTCACATCATTTTTGTATACCGCTTTATTATATTTTAATTTACACAATAATATTTACCCCCACACACTCACACACATCCGAATTATTTTCCCCTCTCTGTTAATAGCTACCTTCCTCCAGTCCTGAGATTCTGTGGTGTAGTTTATTGATGCCCCGGTCGATTTCCTGTCTGTGTTTCTCTGTTTCCAGCCTCAGGGCTTTTCTTTCTTTGTCCAGCAGCTCCACCTTCCTCTCCAGCTCCCCCTCCAAGTCTTCCATCCTCCAGGGCCTGTCAGCACCAGCTCTGGGCCCGGGATCAGCCAACCTTTCTGGGCCGACAGACATTCCGCCTTCATCTGGCACTCCTGAGGTGCTACCGTCCGTCTGGTTGTGAGGAAATGGGCCAATGTCTGACTGCAGAGGAGGGAGACAGTGGATGAAAACTGGTTCACAGTGTGGGTTTTGCAGCCTAAGGAAAATATTGTTAAGTACATATCTGCAGTTCAGGTAATGGTGCATTTATGCACATTCCAGTTATAGCAGTGATTCAACATCATGTCTGTTTGTGCCTGTGTAAGAAGAAGTTATTTGACCCAATTAATAATTGATTTTGCTGAAACATTATATCATGCCTGGTGATACATTTATCTGATTAAATAAGGGTTTTACTATGCTGTAGTCAATGAAATGATTTGTCCTTAAAGAAATAGTTCAACATTTCTTTAAGGACATTTTTTGACTGGGCACAGTGGGGTTGCTAGTTATGAAATCACAAATTGTTGTGTTTCCTAACATTGCCTCCCATGAACTCAACTGTTGTTTTTATACTTTTGTTTTCTGTACAGATTACTCAAATGAGATAAAATGTGTTGATTTGTGAGCTTTAGAGGTGCTGGTGGATTTTTCTTCAGACAGAGCTAGGCAAATTGTTTACTCCTGTTTTGTTATGCTTTATGCTAAGCTAATCTAAGATAATGCCGCTTCATACTGAATGGACAGATATGAAGGTGTTATCAATCTCCTCATCTACCTCTCAGCAAGAGAAAATTCCAACTATTCATCTAAACCTCTTTTCCTTTATATCGAATTGCAAAGCTAACCACAGTTCATCATGCTTTTGCTTGATCCTGTATTCTGTATTGTGGGTTTTATTTGTTGATTTTACATTGCTGTAAAAATAGTGCGGCATGACTAAAGCTGGCTGTGAGCTTTAAAGCACTTGCTTGTTTTCACAGAGAGGATAATGTGTCACTGTGTAGTTAAGTTTTGGGTATGAACAGGTCTTCATTAAGCTGAGGCATCTCATGTCTACAGGATTTTTTTTGCAATTAAGTGAGAATAAATAATTGTAAGCCAAAAAAAGACTGTCAAGCGACCAAACTATTTCAGTCAACAATAAATTGCCAGACCCCACCGCATAATGGTTCACTGAAATAAACACCTATACCAAAAGGGAAAAATGTGGGAAATACAGATTCTGCAAGATTCCTAAAGCTGGTGGTCCAGTATATCCACCATGCATATTGTTTCACAGTATACAGCAGAAATACATAGACTCACAAGGGAATTGATACAGAAAATACATGCACATACAGTACTCTGAACAATACATAAAGCCATACATTGTGCACTGAGCTTGCCTGTATTGTATAGAATGATACAGACAAACTAAGGCTATAGGGGAAGGAAGTTTCTTCCTACAATGATGACTACTGTGTGAAAATATGACAATCTGATAATCCTCTTTAACATGTTTTCCAATAGACTTGTCACTTTATCTCTAAAAAGACTTTTAGCTACATTTTGTGGTAAAATCAACAGCAGAATTGTTATCCAGTCTTTTGTCAGTAAATTTCAGAAAAGTGTAATATGCCATTATCTTCAAGCACAAACACATTTGCTGTAATAGTTAGGTATTAAGACAGGTATGCACCTTGCTGTGGACTGCACTGATGCTTAAATCACGCATACCCGAAAGAGGAGCCTCAAATCAAAACCATTCCTGTGAGTCTTGGTATATGTAATCTACTCTCAAATATGTTTGACAGTTCTGTTATCGAGCCTGGGGTTAGGCTCCAGGGAAGGTATTAACATGAACAGATGTCAAAACATTTCTAGAGAAAACAAAATGTTCAGTATCCTGTAATACATAAATATATACAAAATAAATTTAGAGTAAAGTAAGTATAGTGAAGGCATTGTGACTGTTCTTAAGTCATCAAATACTACATGCCTACACCCCACACTAACTCGACAACCAAGTTTATGTGTCTCACATCTGTGTGCTCATTGTATTTTTTTTTTACGCGTTGTTGTGTCTCTTGGTCACCTCTTTGTTCCAGGCTTGCCGTGAGATTGTACAGATATTTATGCTGCCCAGAGGATGGATGATAAAGATTAAAAGGCAATTCCCTTTTCTTCTAGTACCAGCAGCAGGTCAGAAGTTTCACAGTGAAATATCTTCAACATTGTTTTTATACAGACATTCAATTTGACTTCCCAGGTGATGAATCCTAAATACTCTGATGATCCCCTGGGTTTTCCTCTAGCACCACTATGTGGTGGAGCGGTTTAAGCGAGAAAATTACTGGACTGATTGCTATGAAATGTGGGACCCACAGGATCAATTCCAATAACTTAAGTGATCCTTTAACTTTTCATCTCCATCATCTGGTCAGAATTTTAATTTGTCCAACTTTGGTTTATGACCAAACACCTACTAAAACTACTAACATTTCCATCAGCCTCACTTAATAAGGATTGCCTGAGGCAGGTAAAATGCAATGTCTGGGTAGTAAATTTAACAACTCACATGTCTGATTTGGTGAGTGGTAAAAAAAAAGAATTGATTATGTTGTTTTTTCCGTGGCTGATGATGGAAGTAGCAAAAGAGTGAGCCATCTCACTTCATTCTCATCTCTATTGAAAGTTGCAGTACCGATCGGGCACTCACACAGAAAATGGCGATGGCTAAAGACAAAGCTGAAGTTGGATGGTATTAGAAGATGTTGGCGAAACTCCAACTATGTATTGTTATTTTATAACTGCTAATAAAACTAGTTTCCAGTCAAGGGACTGTTGTTTGCTTTTGACATTTTTGACCTAAAATGTTGGCAGAAGCATACAGCAATGAGTAGCAACTTTTCAGATATGAACACTGGAAGTGCTGCAGTCCATTTATGGCTGCCTTTATATTTGCCTAATGTAAAACAGCTGCATGAAAACAAGCATCTATTTTTTTCTTTCGATCAATAAAAAAAGGATACAAATGTAGAGAAAATAAGCCCCATGTATAAATTAGAAGAAATCGCTCTTCACATTCTTATTTCAAACACAGCTTAGGCAAAAGGTAAAGCTCAATATGAAGGATCACCACACTGGAGCTGGATCAGAATGGTTTTACAGAGCGGTTACTATCATTGAGCCTCTGGTTAGAATGGAAGTCATACTGATGTTGCAAGAAAAAAACAATCCTAACCGCTCAAACTGCTATCAGAGACTATGTGCACTGATAGTTGGAAAACCATTACAGTGCACATTCACACCATTTACCACATCACTTTGTTTGAGTCTCCTCTGACATGTAAAGAAGGGTTAACACCCTGGTTGTAGTAAAATATGTCTTGTGAGTGGTATTAAGAGTTGCTGTTAATGATGCATGATCAGCAAAACACTCACATGAGCAAACCACACAATAGAAGAAAGCTGGGGAGGCAAGGAATTTAACACAGTTATTTGAGCTGACTAATATTCCCAAATGAGCACTCTTTTTGTATTTTTACCAGTACACAGGATGATGTTAACACCACTGTGTGCTACTGAAGTAGGCCAAGTACCTGCTGTACACAGAAGCATGTACAAGAAACAGAGTGGGGGTGAGAAAAACAGATTGGCTACAGTAATATATTTTAGGTTTAACTGTCACCCCGAGACCAAATGCATTCAGATCTTATTATGTGAAAGGAGAATGTGTGCCGAGGAGTCTGAACTCCTCTGTTCCCAAAGAGTGCAGGTTTTCCACTGACGCTGGCGATAATAAGATGAGATAATAAGCAAAGTGTGTTTAAACCTGAAAGAAAATGACCCAAACAGACATGTCCTACATAAACTGCCACGGAGTGAGGAGTACTATGCTGCAGAGAAGAACGTTTAGTCTGTGCTTTCAACAAATATAGGCAACTCATAAATTATGTATGGTATTTCTCCAGCCAAAAGTGAGGTTGTACATCATCGGATTCTGGTCAGATAAAGACATGTTTCATGTTACTCCGCTATATTCTCTCCTCTTCCACCATCTCCTCCTCCTCCTCATCCTCCTCCTTTTCCTCCCCACTTTATCTTAATCCTCATCTCCTCTTTGTCCCCTCCCCTCTTGTCTCTCTCCGTTCCCCCTGCCTCACTTTCTACCTCTGTCTTTCTCTTCATTTCAAATCTCCATCTGTTTTCTTGGCATGATAAATTAGCCACCTTGCCAAAGCAATCAACTGCTATCAGCAATTAACATCAATTTCAAATTAAATCACACAATAATTGATTGCACTGAATGCAGACAAATAGGAACAGACTTTTAGTTTCCTTTTCTTTGAGATTACACAAAAGTTTATTTTGTATATACTTACTGATTAAGGAATTGCTTAATTTGATGTTGTTCTTTACAAAAATAAAAAATACGGTATCTGGCTGCCAATACCCAATACCACACAAACCACACATAAAGCCTGTTGGATAGCTCACTTGCTTTCCTTCAAAATTGAAAATCATTGCTTTCATAAATTACTTATGTGTGCCCAGAAATCCAAAAACAGACTAGATGACTACAGAGTAAAAAAGAAGAGACAAATATAGCCTTGGAGGTGAACTCTTAATATCACTTATTACAGAAAAAATGGTACAAATATCTAAAGCTGTTATCAGACCATTAAACACCATTCTCTCTGATAATAGGGGGTCCTTCTTGCCTCCAGATTCCCTTCATCTGGGACCAAGACTGTTCCTGGGGATTCATTCTTAAGTATTGTTTTAGTTGCATGCAGTGGGTGATTTATGTGGAGGACTGATGCTCTTTCTTTACACTCTACCTACCTCCAGCTTCTCTATGCGGTCTTTGAGCTGAGTGATAGCCTGCTCCAGTTCATCCACAGCTCTGACGGTGAGCAAGTGGACACTGTCGGACGTCGAAGCCGGACTGTCCCGCACCATGATCCGCTCCAGGTGCGTCTCCTCAGCCGTGCTTTTGCCCCCCAGCAGCCCCGCAGCGCTCCCGCGTCTGTCCGCGCTGCTGCTCTTTCCGTCCAGACCCTTCTCGCACTCCGTGAGTTTCCCCGTCAGCTCTCTGATGGTCCGCTGGTCCGTTAATATCTGGTCCTTCTGCTGCAGGACCGTCTGGCGGAGCTCCTCCGCGGTGGTGCGGAGGTAGCCCCAGTCTTCGCCGGCGTACAGCGACGGGTCTTCCGCTTGTTGCTGAAAGTTTTTCGGGTTGCACTCCCCGGCGGGAATCGGCGTGCAGATGAGTCGACTGACGGTTGGGTCGTGCCCGGTGAGTCCAGTGACCCCGTCCAGCCCGCCGAGCCCGATGTTGAAGGTTGGTGCCTCCGAATCGGGTGTTTCAGAACCATGGAGAGCGCCCAAAGACCCGGCCCGGGCCACGGAGCCCCCTGCAGCGGGGGTCTGCGCCGCCGCGTCCGGATACAGCGAGTGGTTGTCGGTTGCTGGTTGCTGTTGCGCCGCGGCAGCCCTGGAGGATCCGGTGTGGACGGCTGCGATGATGCAGATAACCGCTCCGATGAAGGCCACCATCCCGGCGGCCAAGATAATAACAATGAACTTCAGGGTGGCGGCGTGAGCGATCGGTTATTAGAAAAATCTAATCTTAACACTCTCCGCAAGAAAGTAAAAAAGCCTACCCCCCCAAAAAAAAACAAAAGTGTCAAATTCTGTTCATGCACCTAAATGGAGAAAAAACACCTCCTCACTTTTCTCCTTTTCCAAAAGAACAAGCGAGTAGAAAATGAGAGTTCCGCACCATAATTGAGTGATCATGGAATCAAAACATCAGAAGCAGGCAGTCTCTGTTACACTTCCTCCCCCTGTTCAGCGCGCATGTCCTCGGTATTCAGGCAAAATCCAGCCTGTTAATACTGAAGCAGAATGAGGGGGAGAGAGATGGAGGGAACGAGTAGGCTACAGGAGAGAGAGCGAGAGAGAGAGA